ATGTACACATACAGCGAGCAGGGGAAACAACCCACTATAAACAACCAGTTTTATAAACATTTGTTCCAAACTTTTTCCACAACCAGGAGTCTAGTCTATTTTTGAAAGAAAGTACAGTGGAGTACAAAGTTATTTGCTCTGGTAGATTGTTCCAGTATTTTGCTGATCTATTATACAAATGATTATATCTTGGAAGACAGTTTAGAACATACTCACGCCTTATTTTAGAATGGTGACCACGAGACACGGAGTTAATATATTTTGGTAGATATTTATCATTAACTATATCAAAACGATGTATTAATTTAAAAATTTGGATTAAATCGCATCGAAGGCGTCGAAACTCAAGTGATGGTAGGTTTAATCTTTTTAGCCTTTCGCAGTATTGAAGATGCCTCAAGCTGTAAGCCCATTTTGTAGCTTTGCGTTGAACAGATTCAACCAAAGCCATATCAGCTTTTAAAAAAGGAGCCCAAATGGACACTCCATATTCAAGATGTGGTCTTATAAATACTTTATATAATTTGAGAGCCATTTGTTCATCAATGAAAGTGAATGTCTTTTTCAGCATACCGAGAATTTGTAAGGACTTAGAGACAACTGTTTGAATATGAGCGCTCCACTTGAGGTTAGATGTAAAAATGACTCCTAAATCACGTTCTTTAGTAGAGCTTCTTAGAGATTGGTTGATTCCTTGGTTATTTTGAAGAAAGTAATTGTAATGGGGGTTGTTTCGACCGTAATGAATGACGCAGCATTTTGAAGTGTTTAGCTTAAGTAACCAAGTGTTTGACCACTCGTATACCAAGCGTAGACGATCCTGCAGATCAACAAAATTAGATTGCGATAAGGTTTTAGAAAAAAGTTTAGTATCATCGGCAAATATCTCAGAAGTTTCAGTGAGTTTTGCGAGATCATTTGTGTAGAGAATGAAGAGGAGCGGGCCGAGAACAGAACCTTGAGGAACACCACTAAGAACATCAACCCATGCAGAGCTGGTATTGTTAATTGTAACGCGTTGCTTTCTTCCCACTAAAAAAGATTTAATCCATTGTAGGAGTTTGCCGTTTATTCCGAAAGATCTTAATTTTAACAAAAGTTTGTTTTGAGGCACAGAGTCAAACGCTTTGGCAAAGTCAAGATAGATTACATCAATAAATTGGTGAGATGCTATGGAGGACGAAATGATATCAAAAGTTTCTATTAGGTTAGTTACGCATGATTTATGATAAAGGAAGCCATGTTGATTTGCAGAGAGCATTTTATTATCGTTAATGTGCTTTAAAATTTTTTTCTTTACAAGTTTTTCAAAGATTTTACAGGCAACAGATGTTAGTGAAATAGGTCTATAGTTTTCAGCAAGTAATTTATCTCCCTTTTTTTTATAGATCGGACTAATATTTGCTAATTTCCATTGAGTGGGTACTACTCCAGAATTAAAGGATTTATGAAAGATTTTTGTTAATGGAATTGCAAAGCTTTTGGCACATATCTTGAGTATTAAGGGATGCAAGCCGTCAGATCCGAAGGATTTATAAGGCTTTAGATCGGCAAGTTCCTGAATAATATCTGAGATAGAGAAATCCAAGTTTTCATTATAAATGCATTCAGAAAGAATACCACTTTTATTTAGCAAAGGAAAATTTTCAGAGCTTTCAAGTGTAAACATAGATTTAAATTGAGAGTTCAGAAGATCAACTATATCAGGAAGAGCTTCAATAATTCTGCCTGAAGTATCTTTGAGAGAGCGAATTCTATCTTTAATTTTTAGTTGTTTGTTGATATATTTGTAAACGATTTTTGGGTTGTTTTGGGATTTTGATATTATTTCTTTTTCATGTGCTTTTTTTGCTTTAAATATTTCAGTTTTTACTGAACGATTAAGGCGATTGTATTTTATTTTAAGCTCACTATTCTCCCATTTGGTAGAGCAGTTTATATGCCAAGCGGATTTTTTTTCTCGGATCAGGTTTTTAATATGTGGGGTAACCCAAGGATCATACTTTTTTTTTGTTTTATTAATCTTGGGAATAAAATATGTGCAAGCAGTGCGATAGTTAGAAATTAGTATATTGAACATTTGATCTGCAGTTTTATGCAGGAATAAAAACTCCCAGTCGATTGATGCAATAAAGTTAGATATTGAATCGTAATCACCTTTTTTGTAATTAAACGATTGAGATTCACTTTCGGTAAACAGTTCTGAAACTAAGAATCTCCAAGTGATACTAAAATGACCCTTAGTGGTGTTACCTAGTATAGTACTAGGAGACAAGTTTAAAATAGAATTACTGTTGTAGGTAAATAACAAGTCCAACATATTATTTGAGGAACCATAATCAGTTTGGAAAGTAGGAAATGTGATATGTTGAGTAAAAAGGCTGTTTTGGAAAATATTCCAGAAATCATACTCGGTAGGATTGTTTGGGTTAAAAGATTCAATACCATCGTTAGACCACTTTATATTCGGGAAGTTAAAGTCACCGACAATCAAACAGTCATCATAGGGCTTTTTAATTAAACTATGAGCTAATTTGAAGGATTCAGCGACATATTTTATTAAACTGGCATCATTTGGTCTGTATATACAACCGATAAGTATATGTTTGTTGTTAAATTTTACAGATACCCAGACTTTAGTTTAAACTTTATCCATTAAACTTCTTGATATAAGTCTAAGAGTGTTATGTAGTCGATAACCACAAAGTTCTATTAACTTAAAACAATCTCACTTAAAATATTTTTTAATACATTTCTGCAAAAAAATTTATACGGATACAAAAACTGTAACGCTAAATGAAATAATTCGAGAATACGAATAAAAAAAAAAAGGGAAAAAAAGTTTTAAAATAGCTTCTTTTTATTCTGTTAGAACACAAGATAATTTTGCCAAGTTTTTATTCCAACTTTTAAAAAATGGACTCGTTGCCGAGTACTCGGACTCGGACCCGGTTTTTCAGCCGGCTACCCGGAGTCGGAGACTCGGCATAAACTGGTTCCAGCACATCTCTACTCTATAATAGAACAATATACTCTAGGTATTTCGTTTCTTAATTTTTGTTTAGGATAATGGCTTTACAACGCTGTTGCAATGAGTCAACTAGGCGTTGACATCTTTCTGAGAGTATTGCAAACCACTAATTCGGATGTCGTTTTGCAAACGTTTACGAGGGGACATTTTGTGGACTGCGTGCATTAAACATAAATTGTTTTTTTCTTTAAACGCCTAAGTACAGTACTACTGTAGTGTTTACCGTCCTTTAATTTAAGATCATCTTTGATTTGCTTGGCCGACGAAATTGGTTTACTTTTAACAAATCTAACAATTTTTTGGACTTCCTGCGCGCTAGTCTTACATTTTCCACCTCGTTTTTTAACTTTATTTGCGTTATAAGTAACTGGATTTGAAATCATCTTTGCTGAACTTCTGTTCACAATAACTTTCTCAGCCCATTTAGAAAACACTTTTAACATTGAGCATACACAAATACATAAAGAATATATTATAGTATAAATACCTTTCCTTTGGAAATTACTAAAAGCTGTTTAAATTTTTCAAATTAACTTTTAAATCAAAGAGACAGGGGGGGGGGGTAGTCATGGCTCAGCGCAGCGTTCATTTCTTTGATTGATTTTGTGTTATTATTGCAGCCAACAGTAGCCAATGTAGAGCGTAAAATCAATAACTTTAATTATAATATTCCAATGTACTTTAATATAACTTACAATATGAACTGTAAAACAGTTAAGGTTTTAGGGTTTCTTGTTCCCATTCTCCTATCACAGTAATTTTTTTTTAAGAATTTTTCGTCATACATATGAACGTAAAAAAAAATTGGAATATTCTTGGTATTTATAAGTTGGTTGTTTTGAACAATTAAAAACCTTCCTACGCCACTGCTTAAGAGTATTTACTATGCATTATTCTCATTTCATCTTAGCTATTGCTGTCAAGTTTGGGGTCAAGTTGGAAACTATCGCATTAACAAGTTGCTATCGTCTTAGCGTCAATCCATTAGAATAATTAACTAATTAAATCAGATACATCGGAGTCTTTCAAAAGAATTTTTATTCCAACATTTCCAGCGCTTGCAAAGTATGCAAATCTTTTTGGTTTTCACTCCTTAACTAAACACTTACTATCTTTTATTACAAACTTATTCACAGAAAGTGAACAAGTGTAATAAAAGATAGTAAAAAATACTCTAAAACTACTAGAAATATATATGAAAGAAAAACTAAATGTATCATCTTTTAAAACCCAGAAGTATGATAAACATTCAATTGTTTATCAGTGCGTCTGTGAATGGAACAAGAACTTTGTATGCATTTTGAATAAGTCCAAAAAACTACTTACTAAAACACCTTTTCACCATCTTAAAAAAATCAATTTAAAAAAAATCTGAAAAAATTTTTATTCTTATATTTAGACATTATTATCCTTACTATTAAAATATTCTTTTAATTTTCTTTTCGTTATTACTACAATTATCATTAGCACTTTTTGTTTGTTTCTTTATTTTATTACTATAAGCTGCAAATTATGATTTCTACATGTTTTTTAATGCATGTTATATGTGTTTTATTCTATGTGTTTACGGTCCATGTGTTTCAATGTATGTCTTTACTTATTATTACTTATATTATACTTAAAAATTGGAGTCACTCCTTTTATCAGATTTCTTTATGACACCATTCTAATAAATCATTAACTTATTATTATAAATAATTTTATGTTTATAACTACAATTATAATATATTATTAGTATATCATTGTAATTATTGTTTACATACTTATTATTACTATAATTTGTATTTGCATTTTGTTATCTTATATTATTACTATATATTACTGTTATTATTACTATAATTATTGTTACTATTATTTTTATTATTATTAAAACTATTGCTAAAATGATTTACGGAAAATAAAAACAGTTTGTTGTTATTGGGTGGATTATTGAAAAACTTTACGAACTAAGTAAACAAATAAAAAGTAAAAAAAAAATTTTTATGCTATAATTGCATATCAATAAGTTGCAACTAGTGAAAGAATGTTGTAACATTTATAAGTCAATTGATATAACTTAAAAAACCAAAACACCTTCGACTACTTGATTTATGCCTTATTTCTTCATGGTACTTTCATACAATCTAATTGTCGTAGCAAAAGTAGAAAGTAGAGACCAACTGTAGCAAGAATTAAGATAATATTGATACCGCTTCATTATCATTATATTAGTTGCTGTCTTGCACATCTATTGAACAATGCGATAAGTAACGTAACGGCCTGCTGTTACACTTGGCCGAATGATTTTAACAACCTAAAATAATACAATTAATATTTATGTTTAAATTGGCTGATCGTACGGTTTCAGTGTCACATGGCCAACTATAAAAAACAATTGAGGAGCCCGTTTGCAAAACGCAAAAAAGTTACAAAAATAAAAAAATTTAAGTTGATTCCATTTCCACATTCTTTTTAATGAAATCTACTATCTAAATATTTGTCCAATTGAGAGTTTTTTATCCCATAAATTGACAAAGAAATAGTTAATTTCTGCTAGTTCAGTTTTTCGACGTTTTCTCAAAATCAATTTAATTGAACTTGGCGCGTTTTGCAGATGGTCTTCTCACTTATAATTACTATAAATACAAGGCCGAGTTGGCAGTTTAAACGGGAAAAATTAGGACTCATGTTTTTATATCATAACCTATGAAATTGCTTAAAAAATCCAAAAACTAATGCTGCTAAACAGTGTATTTAATTTTAAAACAGACTTTTGCTAAGTATTAGAAACAGCTTAGTAATATTATATTAAAATTATAAAAGTATTCCTTCTAGATATGAAAAGAAAAAAAGAATTTATTTTTTTATATCTAGACTTCTAAAAACTGATAAAAAAGAGTTAAACTTTAAGCTATTAAAAAAATAGTTGTTTAAATTATTGTGACCTTCAAACTACTTTTAGATAAAAAAAAACAAAAAAAAAAAAACAATTTACGTTTACGTTGATTACAAAGTTTACGTTAAAAATTATACGTAAATTAAAAAGAGAGACAGATTAGTCGAGTCGTTGATGTATTTAAGGAACTGTTGATGTAATCAATAGTTGACCTTTTCATGTAATCAAGAAAGGAATTATTTTAATTTGCTCGCAGAAAAAAAATCTTCAAAAAATCTCTACGAATTACATATATTAAAGGAAATAAGTTTTTGGACATTGAATAACTTGAAAACATGTAAAAAAAATTTACAAAAATGATAACATATGTTTTCATGTTTATAAACAAAGCCCAACAATTTCATAACTCAACCCTCGGAATTTATTTGCCGACCTCAATCGTTTAGTGGCTTGCATCAAGAAGGCAAAAAAAAAAAAAAAAAAATTAATACAAATGTCTTACCATAAAACATAGAAACGAGGTGGGCCATTTTTTGCCGACCTCAAAGACTATTAAGTCGGCAGTTAGGTCGGCATTGCCGAGGTTCTATAATGTTTTGATAAAAAAAAAAACATTGAAGACCCTGTAAATGTTGAAAAAAAACATTGGAGACCCTGTAAATGTAAATGTAAGGGTCTTGGAAGCAACTTAATTTTTTTTTTTTAAATTATTATAAGGGTTATTTCTAGTGTTATTTTTTATATAGAATAAATTTTGAGATATTGAAATGCAATTTTTAAAAATTGTTTTTCGTCCTACTCTAATATTCAATCATTTATGTGATAATATCACATTAGAAAATTGAGCGTTCAAGCATTAAACTGTTTTAAGTCACAAGCCAATCACACAGGTACAGCAGCAACTGAGATTTAACTCTATAGCGTAAGTTTAGGAATAAGCGTAAGAAAGAAAAATACAAAAAGCGTCTGAAACATGTAAGCAGGGCCACCGAGAGAGAGAGAGGAAGGGGGCGAAAGGGACAGTTTGACCCAGTCCTTAAACTGTAATATAAGGAAATTTTGCTAAAGAAGAGCGCCAACCAGGGTCGCTGTCCCAGGCGGCGTGACGGCTCTCAGCGGCCTTGCATGTAAGTGTATATTCAAGTCTAAATTTTCAATTTATTTATACGTAACCGTGTTTATTAATATATTCTAAATAATCTTTTATTTCATTTAAACTTAATTATTATTGTAACATTAATTGTAAGAAGGATGTAGATAAATATACATTGAACAAATATTTAATACTTCAGCAATTTCTGAATAATTTCGACGCATGAAAAAACATTTTAATGATAGTGTTACACAACTGCTGAGACGTAAATAAGATTTTTGTCTACTTCAATAATTGTGCTCAAACCACAATGCACTTGTTATCTTGAATCCTACATTAAAACTAAGACTCGGATCTTAAATTATAACAGAAAATTGGATCTTACATTACAACCAAGTCTTGGATCTTGCATTAAAAAATAGTTTCAGTCTCTACTAATATTGATAATAGATAAAGTAAACTAAGGTAAGAGCTAACGAAAAAAAAAGTGAACGGTTTAGCGATTTTGTTTCTTTTGCATTTATTGAAACCTAAAACTAAAATCTTTAAAAATACGAGGCACCGTATTGTAGAGAATTTTGTGCTCTATCTAAACGTGTAAGAATTGTTTTTAAAAATTTATTTTTGCTTTAACAAACTTTAAAATTCTCACCCTTGTAAAAAAAAAATAATTTAAAAAAAATAATAATAACTTCAAAAATCCTAAAAGTAAAATTTAATTTAATTTTACTAAACTAAAAAGTTTTGTAGAAAATTTTATGACGATCAAGATTCTCTTTTTAAAATTGAATTTGCTTCACAAGCGTGCGCGTGCGTGTGCACAATAAAGTTCAATCACATGGTAGAGGTATAACTACCGTGCTAAGTACAGCATTTAAATTTGTTCTTGTATAAATTAAGCCACAGAGTAGCAGGCAGTATTTCGTCTTTCAGAGCTTCCTCTTGTATCGAAGACAAAATGACAAGTTTTTTCAATACACCTTAAAAACAATTTATTGAAGCAAATATCAACAATAACACTTGTGCAATTTGTATAACTTTGACAAAATTGGATTTTCAGGCGATCAAGGTAAACAGCATATAATTTGCAGGCTCGGTGCTAAACGCCCTTTAAAATTGGTTGGTAACAACGAAAAAATTACACCGTCGGTAATTGTATCAATGCTACCGGTATCATTCTGCCATCATTCGTAGTTTAAAATCAATATGACGTCTGTAAAAAAGACTGGCGTGTAGGGGGACCACCAAAGACCGTATTTACATCATCCAAGTCGGGTTGGATGGAAGAGAAACGATTTATTCAATAGCTCACTCAATTAGTTATTAGTTTGTTCTACTTAAACTGAGTAGTTTAATCAATTAATCAACTAATCAAATATTTTTTTAAATTGCAGGTATTACATTTAGTCTTGGATAGACACGCCACACGTTACTTACGATGTTGAACGTATTTGCATTGACAATAACATCAGGCTGATATGTTTACCTACTCATTCGTCCCACATACTTCAACCGTTTGATGTAGGTGTGTATTGTCACATTAAACGAGTTTGGCGCAAATAAATTACAGAATTTTATGCAGGTAAAAATTTCATCAAGAGAAAATTTCATTCAACTACAAGCAAAACCTTTTGGCTCCAGTGACGGATTCACACGAACACAAATAATAGCTGGATTTCAAAACACTGGTTGATTCTCACTTGATATTAGCAAAATTGATCAATCAAAGTTACAAATTGCTCAAACATTATAAGTACTATCTCAACGTACTTCCTCATTTTCATCCGAACCTGCTTCATCATCCTCATCCCAGCCTATATCATCATCTAACATCAGTCAACATCAAACTCCAACAATTTGCCAACTTCAAAATTTAACATCACCAGTGACTCCTGCTCAAACGTATCAAATGTTGCAACACTTCACTGAAGGACTTGAAGGCAATTTGAAAAATGTTTTACAGCGCTACCATACTGAAACACAAAAAAAACCCTAAAATAGTCAACATTCCGTGAGTTAAAGGCTTTTGTCTAAATACATCTGATGTGCTCGAGAAACTAAAGCAAGGCCAAAGACACAAGATTCACTTTAGTGAAGCTTCAGATGAAACTTAGCAAGTGCAACATTCAAAAAAACCGAGACAAGACAAAGACATCAAGAGATAAAACAAAAAGTGTCGCAGAGTTTGGGTAGAAGCATTGCCAACTCAAAACAAAATGTGGTACCAATGTGAAGCTTTTAGATGCAAGTTTCAGTTTGTCGATCATGTTTACCCAAAAAATACAAAAATGGTGAAGAGTTTTTTACATGAAAAAATCCCACGAACCTGCTTCTGCCGATGAAACAACTCAAACTTATTTAATTAATGGTTTTTTTCGTATTTTAGTTTTTTTTTTTGTAAACTTAACTTCTGATAAGATTAGTTTCCATTTTATTTTTACTTAATTTTGCTTGATTTTCGTAATATTTTAATTTAGTTTTGATTTTCTTAATATCATAATCAATTGTTATTAAAATAGAAAAAACCAAACAAATAAATTAGAATAGAAGTGATCTTAAGCGTATTGTTGATTCCAAATGATCCAAGCTAAAGCATAAGCAATGATCCATCAACAAATTTATGTTTTAAACTATATGCTCAAAAGATTGATGAAATTCGACATAAAAAACTGAAAAAAAAAATTAAAAAAAAAACAAAACAAACAAGTTTCCGTGTGACATTTTCAAATTTGGTGACACTGGAAAAACTTATAGCTCAGATTTTAAACTTTTTTTTATTACTGAATAGAAAATCGATTCTACACCAGAAAATCGATTCTACACCAGAAAATCGATTCTACACCAGAAAAAATTATAACACCAACATATTCAAAGTTTTTTTCCTTTTATTTTGTATTAAATTTACTTATAGTTTCTCTTAAATTTTCTTTTATATTTACTTATATTTTTACTTATAGTTTCACGTAATTTTTTTTTTATATTTTTACTGTTACTTTTATTTAATTAGATTTTTCTTTATTTTATATATTTACAAGTATTTATTACTAACTATTATTTATTACTAAATAACTAAATAAAGTATAATTTTTTTTTTTAATTTTTGTTTTAGGTGCCCCAAGCAGAGCCACTCCTTCCTTACTGATGACGCCAAAAATATGCCTAGATTTCACTTTAAACCCTGAATCTCATGCATCTCACTTTGAACCCTGAATCCCACATAATGCTAAAAATATTATAGTGGTTTTGGAACAAATATTAAGTTAATCTGATTTTGATAAAACTAAAATTGACGGTTATGTGAATAATGGTGATTTTATAATATACCGACATCCTCCGTGAATGTTTTTTTAGCATATGCAGTGTAGTTAGTTGAAATAAAGAGTTGAAAAAAAACCTCCCTTTTTTATTTTTTTAATTTTTTTGTTTCATTAAATTCATTAAAATATAATATTTTATTACTGTAAAAACAAAATTCTATTTTACATTTTAAAAAAATTGCATATTTTTAAGCACAATCCTTAAAAAAGTTGACTGCGATGAATATTGATGCATATTGCATATGCATAAACAACAAAAAGGTGATATGCATATTGAGTATTAAAATACTAAAAAAAATACATTGAGTTGCGTATGGAGTATGATGCAACCCTAGGAATTATATCTATATATATATATATATATATATATATATATATATATATATATATATATATATATATATATATATATATATATATATATATATATATATATATATATATGCAGCGCTCGAAATAATTATTTGAAGGTTGCCGATCAACACTGATCGGCAGAAATAATAAAAGTAATAAAGTAGACGATCAAAAAATTATCCAGACGATCAAATTTTTCTTAACTTTTTCTTTAATAGCGTACAGTTTAGGTGACGTCAAATTGTTTGTTTTACCGCTGTCAACCTACAATAAATTGCGTTTTTAGAAAATTCTATTGATTTTGTGCAATTTTCTAAAATATCTTTACCTTAATGCCTTTTAGTACTAAAAAAATCTATTTTTAGAACACTAGCTGAATGCTATTGGTTTTTGAATACAACAGCGTACGTCCGCGTTATCGTTTATAGTTTTTACTTTTAAACTTAATTCACTTTTTCACTTCAACGCGTTGCCTTTTAAGTGACGTAAAAATATTTTTTGTGACTCGAACAATTGTTTTTTATATAATGATCGTTTTTTAACAAAAATGACACAATAAAAAGGTAATGAACTTTTTAACCAATATTTGATTATTAAAACTTTTTTAAACTAAAAAAAGGTGAGAAAAAATAATCTCGTTTTGCGCTATTCATTACTTGATTCGTTAGATGATGAATCCAAGTCGATTAATGTTTTTAATCCTGCTTTTTTTGCTCTTTTGGAATAGCATTTTCTTACTGATTGTTTTGGCCTTCGCACGGCATCATTGGTCCATAACTCGATAGCAGAACTTAAATCAAATAAATTGGAATCTTTTTCATCGAAACTTACTCGAATTAAATTTTCTAAACGTTTCTCTTTCAGAGAGTTTCTTGTATCCGTTTTTACTCTATTCATTAGCGAAAAAAGGCGTTCAACTTTCGCATTAGAAACAGGCAAAGTAAATAATAGTTCGACAATAAGTAAAACCGGAACCCATTCATTTTTCATTGAGCTAGAAAAAATTTGATGCCATAACTTACGATAACCGGTATTATGTGGTGCTAAATATTTTACAGTGTAGTTTACCAAGCTATGCCAAGCATCCAAAACATCATTTACAGTTCCTGCAAAACCAGCATGTCGCAACGGCGCTCTATAAAAGTCAAAAAGATTTTCTATTCCTTCATCCAGGAATGTTTCATTTTCAATACTTTGAAGCCAACCTTCTGTATTTAAAACTTTTGTACCATACATATCAGTAATAGTATCGCTTGTTCCCAAACGCTCTATGATTGAATTTGTTACCAACTCGATATGAATAGATTTAGACTTTTTTACTAAATGTTTAGCATTTACAAAGTCGTTAAGTGCAACACCCTGGAAATAAAACTTTCCTTCTTTTTCAGTCACTTTGGCGAGAAAACGTTTTACTGTTGGCAAATTAATAAACTTTGTTTTTTGAATACGATTTAAATGGCTTTTAGCTTGTTGAACAAACCCTGATAAAGCCAACACATCTATCTCATCACTTTGAAAACATTTTGACAACATCTTTGCTGGTGCTAAAATCTCAATAAACAACGCGATATAAAGGGGCATTCTAGCATGAATCCACTTTTTGTGGTATCCTTTAAACTTAGCTCTTTCAGCATTGGTAAATGTTATATCTTCAGTCATATTTTCCAGATGTGTTAAATAAACACCGTATTTATCTAAAATCATTTCTAAAGCCTGAACTTTATGTGAAATCCATCGTGTACCTAAAAATGAAACAAGATTATACAATTTATAATTTACTTTATACTTGCAAAAACTAAAAATATAGGCGTCACGCATAACTGTAATGGTAATAAATATAAGATAAATAAATCAAGCAAAAAAAAGAAAATACCGGAGGCTTTCTTAGGTCGGTAACCACCAATGTTATATTCATCATCTTCTAAAATAGAAACGAGTTCACCCAACTGTCTTAACTTTTTGGGGGATTTTTTGTAAATGTAATACATTTTTAAAATCATGTAATCAACGTCATTGAATGAGGCTGTTTTTCCTAATTTTTCTTTTAATGATAACTCGAGACGATGTGCTACACACCAGCCAAACGTGATCCAGGGGACTTCAGCCTTGAGCAACATTTTAACGCCCGACTTGCTCCCTCTGTTAACGGATGCGCCATCCGCACCAAATCCAACTAGTTTTTTATTGCAATTTACGACTTCTATATTCTCGAGTGACTTTTTTATGGTGTTGAAAACTCCGTGCGAAGTTCCATACTCAACATCCAAAAGTGAAAGAAAATCACATTCAACGTTTACTTCAGTTTTCCAGTTGGAGCCGGATTAAAAGTAACGGCAAATATAGCTTCTTTTTCCTTAATTAAAATGTCGTAAGAACCGTCAATTAAAATAGTGAAAAAATTTCGAGTATTTAGTTTATTTTTGAGATCTATCGCTAAACTAAGACCAATGTAGTCAATAAATACTCCGCATGTGTTTTCGTTTTTATAAGCCTGACCAAAAACTACACCATGTTTCTCTTCTAATTGAATTATTTTTGGGTATAGGCAAAGCGATAGTTCTTCTTTTGCTATAAAGTAAGCGACCTCAAATTTTTTTTTTGTCAAATCCAAGTCTTTACTATTTATGGTTTGAATACCGGATAAAATGTCTGTTTGCCGCATTTCCTGCTGCAACTCGTTTAGTTTTTCAATTCGATCGCACAAATTCATGCCTCTCGTTTTCATAAAAATCTCAAAAGCCTTCTGATGAGACATTCCCTCTGCATGCGTGATTGCAGAACTATGTTGCAATCGACTACATCCTTTTCCACAGCTCCATTCCGGAGTGTAGCCTTTTAAAATCTGAATTTGCGATGCATATTCTCGGCATACTTTGCATTTTAGCGCTGTAACTATTCCGTCAACGCTTTTAATTTCAAGCCAATCATTAGCATTATATTTTGCAAGCGTAGAGACTTTCCATTTATTAGCTGTTTGTAATTGTAGCTTTCTGTCATAAGTTTTTAGTTTTTTCTCAGCGGGTGTTCCAGATACTAAGTTTCTTTTAAAAGAAATAAATGTTTGACGCTTTTTGTATGCTTCCATTTTAAGATTATTTCTAAACTTACCATTTAATTTCTAAAACAAAAACTGTTTCTTTCAATTTAAATTGTCACGATGATTTCAAAATGAAGTTTTCCAACGAATCACAAACTTGCTTTGTTCATTATTTTTCAGACAATCAAAGAAATGTTAACCTTTCTAGTTATTAATTCATTTTATTCAAATGAATTCGCTTTATTAAAATAATTCTTTTACAGTTAATAAACTTTCAGTAATAAACTGAAGACTGTTACGAAATCAACGCTATGTTTATTCCACCAATCAAAAGCATTATTAAGTTATTTACAATAAACTTCGCGCTTCTTTTTAATTACCATTTTTAATGTGAACTAAAAGATTATTATTGGTCTAAAAACTTGTTTAATTCAGCAATAATGAACATATTTTTTTTAATGCTAATTTAATAAATTTAAGATTCTTTTTTAAATGTTAAAAAATTTTTTATTCTAATGTATGACATGCAATGTAGACGATCAAATTTGATCGGCCATAATTAATTTTGGGAGTTCAAAATTTCATTTTTTCCAAAAGTCGACGATCATTGATCGTTGATCGGCCGTTATTTCGAGCGCTGTATATATGTATATATACATTTAAAAGAATATATATATATATATATATGTATATTCATATATATTTATATTCATATATATATTATATATATATATATTCATATATATATATACATTCATATATATATATATACATTCATATATATATATATATATACACACATATACATATAAAAGAATATATATATATATATATATATATATATATATATATATATATATATATATATATATATATATATATATATATATATATATATATATATATTCTTTTATATGTATATGTGTGTATATGCGTATATATATATACAGTGGGTGCTCATTTTATTATAATTTTTTTGAAAATTATGTGTTAAAGGTTATTTATTATAGAAATAAAAAGGTTGCAGACTATTTTTTTGTAACTTTTGAGTGTTGCGGTCTATATTTATTATAAATAACATACTTATTTATATATTTTTTAAAATAATTCCACTATTGTACAAGCAAAAAATTACATATTGGTGATTTATTTTAGTATTTTGTTATCCCTCCCTTTGCACTTATTACCGCTTCTACACGTCTTGGCATACTTTCTATGCATTTTATTGCATTATTTTGAATATCTATGTTATTGTGCCAGACTTTGATCATCTTTTCAATTAATTGTATTTTGTTGGTGATCATTTCAGAAGCAATTTCCCTTTTCATGATCTCCCACAGATTTTCAATAGGGTTTAAATCTGGTGAGTTTCCAGGCCATGGTAGCACTGGAATTTTCTTTGCTTTTAGGTACTCTGTAACCTTCTTTGCTTTATGGCATGGGGCAGAATCATGCATAAATGTAAGTTTTTGGTTCTTTGGGAACCATTTCTTCAACTGTGGTACCAATCTAGTGTCAAGAGCTTTTATGTATTGGTCCTGGCGCATAGTTCCCTCAACGATATATTAGCTCCCTGTTCCATGTCCACTAATGACAGACCATACCATTATACTTAGAGGATGCTTTACACGTTCTAAGATGCAGTCTTTGTGGAATTTTTCTCCAGCTCGCCTACGCACAAACTGTGATTTGTTCATCAATATCTGGATTGTCGATTCATCCGAGAAACATACCTAAACAACATCAAAAAAACTTATAAGCAAAGTTTTAATGTAGGCAAATCTCTAAATGGAATGTGTACAATTATAAATGAAGTACTTACATTTTTCCAGTCATCGACGGTCAAATGCCGATGACTTTTGACCCAAGCAAGGCGTTTTTGTTGCATTGCTAGAGTGAGCTTAGGCTTTTTAGCAGGTCGACAGCATCGAAATCCTTGTTCTTTGAGTCGGCGACAAACTGCCATTGGAGATACTAGTATTCCAGCATCTTGTATTAAAGTGGTTAGTATTCGCCTAGGCTTTTTCCTATTTTCTAGGCAAATATCTCGTATTTTTCTATCGCCTCTGGGCGTTGTTAGCCGTTTTCTACCACAATGTCCTGTTCGTTGAGGAGTATAATCAGCATTTTTGTCCTGATTTTTTTTTATTTGGTTGACTGTTGCCACTGAAACCTTTGTCATTGATGCTATACACCTTTGAGAATAAGAATTATTCTTCAATAATGCTCCAACTTCTCTTTTTTTTTGAAGGTGAAACATCTTTTGCCTTTCGTATATTGAAAAAAACACGTGATTCTAGTAAACCGTTATAGAAGTCAAATTATATGTAAAAACATTGATTTAATCATGTTTAACTGTAAAAAATAGACACATAAATAGAACTCAATAACAAAACAATAAAAAAATCTTTGAAAACTTTAAAAAGAGAGCAATACACAAACAGCACTTCACGCGACAACAACACAGGTATAACTGCCAAAATTGTCAAAATTCGGGAAAAACCCTATAACTTCATATTGAGATGAAATGCAATGTTGCCAAACTCCCAGATTAAAGTAAAAGGTACATACAAACTATTTGTAAAATAAAAAAAAATTATTTTGTTAAAATGTTTTGTTAATTTTGAACTTTATTCACAAAGTATTTAAAATTTGGTCGTGTTTCTAATAATATGAGCACCCACTGTGTATGTATATATATATATATATATATATATATATATATATATATATATATATATATATATATATATATATATATATATATATATATATATATATATATATATATATATATATGCCCCTTATATTGTAAAAAAGATCTGTTCATATTCTTAAAAATTGCTATTAGTTCTCACAAGCAACTCGGTTAAATTTTTTAAAAATTTTATTGGATTTAGGGGGAGCACAAGACCCTTAAACACTTACAAGTCCCTAATACTATATAAAAAAAAAGTTTTTCAAAAGTATGTCATGTTGGGTCTCAATAGAGACGAAATTATATAAAAATTTCAAAAATAATAATCATTTTATTAAAAAATTATTGTTTTAGAATAAGAACAGATCTTTTTTAGAATATAAGGGGCGGCTGGGACATCCTTATATATATATATATATATATATATATATATATATATATATATATATATATATATATATATATATATATATATATATATATATATATATATATATATATATATATATATATATATATATATATATATATATATATACAATTTCAATAGTGAAAATAATTTAATGCAAAAAAAGGAAGAAAAAATAAATAAATATATATATATGAATACCTGGCCTCTTTTCAATCCAAAATACCTTGCAATAGTATCACCCTGTTGAATTCTGGGTAACTGGTGATCTTTCAACTTATATCTTGTAAGTAGCTCTGCTTTTTCTTCAGGACTTAAAACAACATGTTCGGGAACCAGCTAAGATAAAATAATAAACTTTACTTTCTTATATGTGTATATCTTTTCTTGCCCAATTTTTTACGAATTTTCTTTATATGAATACCATTTGATTTATTTAAGGATAATTTGAACTTTTTTTTAAAATTTTTTCAATAAAAAGAAATTTTTCAGTTGCATATTTAAAAAAAAAAAAATTTATTACTTAAATTTCACAATACTATTTGCAACTAGTTCAATTTGCATATCACCACACTAAACATTACCACAGGCACTAGAATGTTAAGCAATTGTATATTTTTCTTATAGAGTATTCTTAATCTAAGAGATTGATCTATGGGTAAACTGAATATACTAGCAAAAATTATATATTTGAAAAGTGTTAGATCTCAACTGTTTTGATCAGCTGTTTGGTGCAGCTTTTGAATAGAAACAGGGTTGAGGTCAAATTCATAACCACATTTGATAATAATATGCTATGTTGCATAGAGTACCAAAAAAGTTTATGTTTAAAAAACTCACAAATCATATAACAAAAATCTAAAACCAAAAAATAATATATATTGAATTTATATTTGATCAAATGTAATTTAAATTTTCAAGTTGCTGCATTCCCAGCAATTGAAAATGCTAAACTATCTAAAGATAAAAAATGTACCTTTAATAAAAAATAAAAATAAAAAAGGAGACATTCAGATTTAATTCTTCAGCTGTTATCTAAGAGATAGATAAAAAAAGCAGAAATTTTGAGAGGTTATATTGACAAAAGCAGAAATTTTGAGAGGTTATATTGACAAAAGCAAAAATTTTGAGAGGTTATATTAACAAAAGCAGAAACTTTGAGAGGTTATATTGACAAAAGCAGAAATTTTGAGAGGTTATATTAACAAAAGCAGAAGTTTTGAGAGGTTATATTGACAAAAGCAGAAATTTTGAGAGGTTATATTGACAAAAGCAGAAACTTTGAGAGATTATATTAACAAAAGCAGAAATTTTGAGAGGTTATATTGACAAAAGCAGAAACTTTGAGAGATTATATTAACAAAAGCAGAAATTTTGAGAGGTTATATTAACAAAGGCAGAAAAAAAAGAAAGATTAAATCTGTGATTATTTTATGGGTTTTGGTTGTTAAAAAAAACTAATAAAATGACCCTCCATAGCAAAACTAGGATGCTCAAAAATAACTTCAGATTGTTTATTAGAAAGGCTCAAAAAAAGCAAATTTAAATAATGTTTTAAGGGTAAATATGAAAAGCTGCTTCTATAAATCGTCTTCTATTCTGTTCCAGCAAGTGACGTGAAAATTAAAAACTTAGTAAAATCATACTTATTTTAAAAAAATAATTTTAAAATATTTTACAGCTTTTTATTCGGTAGTTTTCCAAAATTGTTTATATATATGGATCATTACTGTGCAAAATTTAATGCCCCATGGACAATATGCTGTTCTAGCAAGAAGCCTAAAACTACCCCAAAATCAACAAATACTATTTTTTTATTATTCTTTTAGATTTTCAAAAGTTAACTTTTTAAACATGATTTGAAAATGTGCATATTTCCATTGGAATAAATTCAGCTGTTTTTTTTTTTTTTTTAAAATTCTTATATTCTAATATTTTTAATCCCTTGATTAAAAATATTCATGTAAAAATTTATTCTTTACGTAAAAAGACTAATCATGCATAAACAACCGAGGAATTCACAACTAGCATCCAAAACTTAAGGACCAGAAAGATTGTGAACATATTATCTTACTCTATTTTTCTATAACAATGAATTCAATTTTATATTAATTATATTTGGAATATTAAATATACTTACACAACTCTTTACTAAGAAACCTACATTATGCTTAAAGAAGCTTGTGTTATGTTCAAAGAGATTTACATTATATTCAAAGACACTTACATTATGTTCAGTAACATTAATAAGCAGCTCAGCTTCTAAAAATTGTTCAAGAATATATTTTGGTGCCATGTCCACAAGTGCCTTTGAAAAAATAAATGAAAAAAATGATATATATATATATATATATATATATATATATATGTGTGTGTGTGTGTATATGTATATATATATATATATATATATATATATATATATATATATATATATATATATATATATATATATGTATATATATATATACATATATATGTACATATATATATATATGTACATATATATACATATATATACATATATATATATATACATATATACACACACACACATATATATATATATATATATATACATATATATATATATATATATATATATATATATATATATATATATATATATATATATATATATATATATATATATGTATATATATATATATATATATATATATATATATATATATATATATATATATGTATATATATATATATATATATATATATATATATATATATATATATATATATATATATATATATATATATATATATATATATATATATTTTATCAGGATAAATTTTCAAGATGCTGTACATTTAAATATTTAAAAATGTTTTTGACGCAAAAACTGCTATCACAGATTGCGACAGGAGGGAAGGGATTAAAAATTGACAAATATAGAGTGACGTACTTTATGGACGACCCCCCTTGGTTGCATATACAAATGATTTGTTTTATTAAAACTAAAATATTAACCAAATAAGTATATACTTTATATATACTTTTATATATACTTTTATATATAAGAATATACTTTAAAATAAAAATTATTTCATCCTTTTACTTGTTTCAAATGCATTACTTTTCTTCCTCTGGCAAGTATAGGAATTTGACATTTCCGTATTGAAAAGAATTAAAAAAATCATTTGCTGATTGGATTTCAATTTTTCTTAAATTTACATTGTTGGTAGCTAAACGCTTAACAGTAGCCTGAATACCATTAACAATGCATTGTTGGAAAAAAACTCAAAAATAATATTTTGTTAAATTTCTTTTTAAGATTTATTATTGCGCTCATTTCGACTTTATTTTTAAATAAAGACGTAGCATTGTTACTAAAAATGTAAATTTCTTGAGTATTTTTGTCAGAATGAGCTTGAGACTCATTCTGACAAAAATACTTAGAATTTTCTGCATAACCAACCTAGCAACATTCAATGATGAACATGATTAGTTTAAAACATTTAGATTTGATACTGGCATGAGTTCTAAATTTTTCTTTTATACTTGCATAAGAAAATTAAAGAATAATAACAACTAAAAAAATATATACTTGAATATTTTAAACCCTCTTGGGAGAAAAGCAAAGAAAAATGTACGTGTTCATTTTGTAAGCAACAAAAATGAAATAATTGGTAAGCCCAAATTAGAAAGAACTTTTAGAATTTTTTTAGCTAGAACTTCGGTAAACACATGTAGTTTTAACATTACACAAATACAAAATTAAAATGTGCTTTAACTAAGCATAATTATTACTTAAAATGTAAAAATGTAACATTTAATATTCTTTTGCATATATTATTAAAAATTTAAGTTTTTTAACTAAATTTTAGAAAAAATAAAACTTTATCATATTTTTGTTAACTTATATTACATGAAAATTGCAAAAGTTCTTTCGTTATTTTCTTGAAATATATGTATTTATAAGTATAAAATCTGATCAACACAAATTGAACATGTTATCTCCATTTTTACACTAAATTAATTTGGATAATGCAAATAAATTCATGGCTAAATTTTCACCATGATTTTTTTTTATAATGCAACAATGAGAAAAACTAACTTTAAAAAACTTAAAAACGAATTAATTTTAGTACTAAAGGTATATTTTAAATAAACTTTCATGTATCTACATCAATATTCATTTGCTTAAAGTTAAAAAAAAAAGAGAATAAAATTACTTTTTCATTTTCATGGAATTGCTCATATATACACATACTCACACATAAATTAAATATAAATATGACAAGTATTCAAAAGAAAAAATAAAAAATCCATGAAATTGCTATTATTTTTAGGATACTCAAGTGCCAGAAACTCTTTTCCTCAACCCAATGTTAAAACTAATGATCTTGTATAAATTCAGCTAAATAAAGGACCAGACTGTCAAATCAAAATAAATAACAAATACAGGACTGTCAAACCTTGGCATGAAGAAGTTGGCATTAACTATTATTTATTCTAGCTAAGTTTGAAGACATTGGCACATAGTTGTCTAAGTTTTTTACTCAAACCAGCAACCAAGCTATATTAGAGTCTAGCTTTTGAACAAAGTCCTTTTTTCTGGAAGAGTTTTCCAGAAATATATAGTAAAATTGGGAATTGATGGAGGGTTTCTGAAAGTCTCTCTTGACCTCATTGAGCTGGATCCTCATTGTCACTTCAGAGTCATGCAAGTACTCACCTATGCTCATGGTGCAATATAGAATCATGTTGAAAGTTACCAAGAGTTTACTAAGTCTAGTGGTAATATCAAGAAGGCTTTTGGTATTGTGGTTGCTGTCTGGATCTCAAAACAAACTTATTTTGGAGCTTATATACATCCATGGAGCTCCACCACCTACTTGTTGTGGTCAACCACATGTGCAAAGCTTTGACAAAAGCTTGGCCCATTGCTTTTAAATGACCTCAGCTCTCCACATACAACAAGAACCATATCATGGTCAGCAGTTTTCAGGGAGTGTCTGTCATAAGCTTATCAAATATCTAGACCTCTTTTAAAGGATGGCAGTGTCTGAGCTTGCTTTTCAAGTCTTTGGAATCATTGATGCTCTTCAAAAGTTTATGTCTGGTGACAGCATGTTTTGATATAATTCTAGAGAACTTTGCTGAAAAACTGTACTTGAATGCTGTCATGTTGCAATATTGTGCAAAAATCAAGATTATTTCCTTGCTAAAAAATATTGCTAAAATTAAAAACTAAGATTAATCCCTTAGATGAAATAGTAAGATTTCAAATTTTTGGAGTCAGAAAACACTGTAGTTTTACCCTGTCAAGTGGTTTTCTCAGGTTAGCTCAAAGTAGTCTTAATGCAATCTAAAGATAGCTGGGGACAAAATACAGTTTTGACAACCCTTTATTAGATTTGTATAGACATGCATTTTTTCTAAGGTAAAAAATATTATTGTCATTGGTTGTGCTGTAAGTTAAAGTAAAATAATTTTTTTTTTCAATGATGCACGATTTTTTTTTGCATATTTTTTACATATTTATCAATTTTTCTTTGGTCATTATTTTGTATCTTTTTCATTTTTTGGCAACTGATGCTGGTCTCTTTATTTAACAAATAATTATTTAGTGCTGTGTTACAGTTAAAGCAAGCAGTCTGCCTTTGGGAAACTCCATTATGGTGATCAAACATGATTTTGAGGCGCCTAATGTTTTTTTAACTCATTTTTCTGGCAACACAACAACTTCCTTCAACTCTTTTATAATCAGAACCATTTTCAGCGCACTGAATTATGTTGGAGAAGATTTGCCTAGGAATTCTTTCTATTTTAAAGTGGTTTAAAGTGAACCTCTTTACATAAGATCAATGTACTAAATCAAACTTGCTTTCTATTAGCTTCATGTTTTGATGTCATTTTCTTAAAAATGAGAAACTTTCTTATGAAATGTAATATATATATAAAGAAAGAGTAATGAATTTGTAACAAAATAGATAATATATCTAAAAACAAGAAAACTTGTGTACCTTTTTTGAACCTTTAAACTTTTCACAAAATTTTATGGAACACCTGTTATGCAAGTATGAGCTTCTTAGTGTTTAATGGTGAAAAAATATATATACTTGCCAAAACATTTGAACACTTTTCATTAAGAACTCTTTTCTTTCAACAACATGATGACTATGAACTAACAACTAGAAAACTGATGACAAAATTGACAGGTTGATAATCTGTAAAAATTGACAAAGGTTAAAAATTTTGAAGATGATTTTTTAAGTTAATTTTTTTAAAGTGGTGTTTTGACAAATGTTCCGTTTCTCAAAGAAAGGTCATTTAATAAATTGTTAAAGCAGGTTTTGTATAAGACATTACAAGTAACGATTATCTGTAGAATGGACCAAAAACGCTAATTTTTTACAGCGGCTGTCTTTCAAAATTGATAACTAATACGTTGTCATAATTTATACTAGAAGCTAAATTCCGAAATAAAAACACATAAAAATTAATTGGCTCTAGTTGCACAGTAAACACAGTGATAAGAAAATATCTTACAGCTGATGAGTTTCAAGTCAACAAATAAAATCTTTGTTTTCTAGATAGAGTAAGCTTTTAAGAAAATTGAGTGCACCTATTAATGAAAAAGGTAATAGCAATGAACTTGAAGAGGAAGCCGAGAAATATCAAGAAGAAATACATAAACTTGCAACTAAACTTTCTGTTATATAGTTGATTGGGTGATGATTAGGTGGTAATACATAGAGATGTTGCTGAGGTAAACATTTTGTATATATTGTTGACAAAAACCAATGGTATCCAGGAGTTGTTGCAGAGGTAAATATTTTGTATATATTGTTAAACTAAACACTTATACTACATAAAACTAAGTAAAAAGCTAAACATTCATAACAATATTAAAACTTGAATAAGCTAAACATTGATAAAAATATTACAACTTAAATGATTATGTATTATAGAAATGATAAGTTTTATTATTTATCTATAAATTTTGTGTTTAAATTTTTTTAGATAACTGAAGTTATCTGAAAAATACTGTAACTCAATGCATGAAAAGTGTTTCTTTTGGAAAAAAATTATTATTGATGGCCTAATCAGAAAGATAGCATAATATATTCCGATGAAGATATCTTATGTCAAATAAGTCCTCCATTTCAAATCAATAACCATAGTGATTACTTCTTAGCAACAAATGATTTTGAAGAAGCTAACAAACTAATGAACAAATAAAAAAGAAGTTCAGTTGTATAAAAAAAAATTTACTGTAAAGCAACATGAATGTTTTTTTAAATAACTATCAAATATGCTTTTACTATTTTTATTTATATATTACTTTACCCACAACTACTACTTTTCTATCTGATAATTAATTAGGGCTGAACCAGATTTAATTTTGTAAGATCCGGCCGGATTTGCCGGATTTCTACAGACAAATTTGGCCAGAGCTGGATTTTAAAACAAAGTTAAAGGAGCCATTCTCCTGTACATCCCTACTTGATATAACAATGGTCAGCAATGTTTACCATTCTCAATACCAAGTGACAACTATTTTCTGTTAAACTTCATTGTTATTATCAAAATAGAAGAACGCAATAATACATAACATATAATAACATAACAAAATAATTGATAAATTATTGAAACTTTCAATTTGAAAGTGAACTAAAGTAACTTGAGTTTCAAGTTACTTTAGTTCACTTTTTTTGAAGTTACTTTTCTAAAGTAAATTTAGCTTCTAGTATAAATTATTTTTCATTTTTTTGAAGTTACTTTTCTAAAGTATCTTCAAGTGCATGGTGTAATGAAAATATATTTTCATTACACCATGCACTGTGCTCTATATATGTTTTTATTTTTTACACCATGCACTGTGCTCTGTATATGTTTTTATTTTTTTTAAACATAACTTTAAAACAAGAACATAACTTTAAGTTTTTACATAATTTTACAACCGCAGAGTGTTGCCATGCAACACTCTGTGCTTGTTTAAAATTATGCTTAAAAAAAATAACAAATACAATATTATTGCGGTTTTTAAAAAAATGATAAAACTTAATGTACCTCCACATTATTTTAATTGTTTTAACTTTTGTATGACATTAAAATATAGCTTAGCTGTTTAAGTCACTTAAATGAGATTTTTTTAAACCTTAAAAGCCTCTTTCGACTAAGTCATAGAAAGTCTGAATCTTAGTCAAAATCAAATCAAATAAATAAAATTAGACATTTATATCTAATTATATTTATACATGAAATTCTGACTATTTCAAAATTGTTTAGTTCCTACAATTTTGATCTAAAATCACAATAGAATAATAAATGCAGAAATTCACAATAGAACTGCAGCAATAAACCAATCCTAAACAAAAAACAATGTTTTTACTTAATTTTATGTAAGTAAATACATTTATTTTGTGAAATGGAATTGTGGAGAACCATTCTGGAATGTTAAAAATTGAAAATTTTTTTTAAGTTACACAAATTGTATGAAAAATTATTAAAGTTTTCTCTATTTGCATTCGCAAGAAAGCTATCAGGCGTTATTACATATTTTTATGTTGTTTGACAAATTAGACTATTTTACATTATTTATTATATTTGTTATATAAAAACACTAAAAGCTGAAAATATGAAACCTGCTTTGCAGATGGTGTCATACCAGTCTGTACCACTATGATAGCTCTGTTTATACCTTCCTCTTGCATACGAGTACAATATCTAACCAAATAAACAAAATATATATATCACGCACAGTTTGTCAAATCACGCATTTCACAAACTGTGCAATTTTTTTGCCTTATACCCTGACTTGCAACGGAGTAATGCTACATCGACTGAGGGCTTGGGTTAGGCAGGTAGTCTATTAATTAAAAAACATATATTTATTATAAATATTTATTACGCAGAGTATATATTAAAAAAACCCTTTAAAAATTTAACATTTCACAATCTGCGCAACAGCGCTATCCATTTCAAGAAATGAGGAAAAAATTGCAGAGCTCGTGAAAAGCGTGACTTCACGATTTGTGCGTAACATATACAACACATTTTTGAAATTTCTGTTTTTGTAATAAGAAGATTGAAATTAAAAATTAAAGGACATTTTTTTTGTTTAATTTAAAACAATTAAAAGAATTAAAGAAAAAAAAAAACAACAACTGAAAAACTTAACTAAAAATAATATAATCAAAAGTCAAACAAATAAACAAGTAAATAACTCTAAACAATATTATCTATTATACAGAGCACTGCCAAAAATTTAAGAAAATTATTTGCAATGTTTATTGCTATGTATATACCATAATATACATTATGCAATAAAATTAATTTAGAATTTTATTTTTGTCAAAAAAGTTTAAATAATTTAAAACATTCTGACAGATTATGACACATACAACTTTACAACACATACAACATTACAAAACATACAACTTTACAACACATACAACATTACAACACATACAACATTGTATGTGTTGTAATGTATTTGAAATATTTAGATTTTTAAAGGATAAAGAAGGGTCAAAACAACCTAATAACCTATAAGAACATCTTATGTGTGTTTATATATATTTGAACATCTTATGTGTGTTTACATAGTTTTATATTTCTTAAATATGAAGTCATTAATGAAGTTTAATCTAGCGCATAATGTCAACTTGTTGTTGCCAACTATGACATAATTGACATAATTACGTAAAAATGTATTTTTATAAATTTAGATTCTATGAAAAGGACTTCTTTTATTAGACTAAAAAGAAAAATTAGTAAAAAAAAAAAATTAGAAAAATTAGTAAAAAAAAAATGAAGAGAATGAAGAAATGAACAAGAAAGAAATAAAAAAGAAAAAAACGAAAAAAAAATTTAAAACCATATCAAACAAATTAACAAAAGAAAAAAAATGAAAAAAGAAACGAGAAAAGAAAAATGAAAGACAAAAAATCAAAGTTAAAAGAAAAACAATACAAATGGAAAGTTATTAAAAAGAATTAAAATAAAATATAAAAATTGCTCCGTTTTTGAAGAAACGAAAAATAAAAAAAATTTAAAATATTTTTTAAATTTAATTATTTTTGAGGGATGATGAGTATGCTTGATATGATTTCCTTTTTTATATGAATATTGTCATTTATTATGAAAACTCTATAATTTTCGTGATTAAATGTTTGTGTGGGTGCGTGTGACACATTTTTATTTGTGAGTGTTATTGAAAATATTTTGTTTGTTTATTTACTGTTATTTTTTAATGAAACATTTATATTAATTTTATTGTTTTTATTATGATTATTGATATTAAGATTATTATATTTATTAAATCATTGTTACTTTTTTTTGCAGTAATTGTTTTAGTTACATGGTAGGTTGTTACGTTTTGTCAGTACATAACTATTTGTAACTTTCCTGTCTGTGCATTCAGTTGTTGTTTTAAAATTGATATTGGTTTGTTATTATAAAATTTTCTTATTATTCTTATAATTGTTAATTTATCATCATTATTATTATCATTATTATTTGTATTATTAATGCTATTTCATGGTATTTACTCAAGATTAGTTTTTAACTATTTGTAAATGACCTTGATTGTAAGATCTTTTATCAAAAATATATTGATTGATTATTAGACTAAGATGTCAAAACTTTATTAAAAGGTGCTTTGTTTGGTCAGGCAGTAAACTACCCTAAAAAAGTGACAATGATAATTTTAACATTTATGAATAAATGCTATGAATTATATTAGGAGCTCAACCTGTTACCAATTTTTTCTATAAATTTCAATTTGCACTTTGTCATCAATTTGTTGAAACAATAAATAATACTATTAATGGTACAATGTCAATAATTGTTGATAATATTAGGGTAAATCACTAATTTTTTGGAACATTTAAAAAATTTAAAGAAACCATAGTGGACAACATCAGGTACATATTTATTATATGATCATGTGCTACTGATAACCACAACAGACCAAGTTCTCTGTGGGCAAGAGCTATGTAAAGTGAGAGCCACTGTCTGTCTACTGTCTACATCTACTGTCTGTAGTTAAAGAGTCTGCATCTCTTAGTACATATGCTCTTTTTTCAAAGCTGTCTGAAGCTAATGTTAAACCTGGTATCATTATCAAACTACAGACCAAGAAAGTCATAGTTTGTGACAAGTTAGCCATATTCCTGATCGAGATGAAGAGAGTGGGTAGAAGAGAGTGGGTGGAAACAGTTTTGTTGCAGTTGTTCCTTGGTAATCAAGTTGAAATTCCGCATGGTTTTTCATAATGTAATTGTAAAATGCAGTAGTGGTGTAGTGGTAGAGCGCTCGCTTCATAAACGAGTGGTTCCGAGTTCGATCCCCACCACGTCCCTGGTAGTACCGCGCTCAACTCGTTTCTCCGCGCAGCGGCCTTGCTCGTCAAGGTTCGTGTTTTGGAGTTATAGAGTTGATAGAGGGTTATAACCACAAATAAGTAGCCTCCTCGTCTGTAGTGGCCTTCTCGGCCTTGAGGAGGTGAATTAAAATAAAAAAAAAAAAAAAAAAAAAAAAAAATTATCTAATGGTTTAAATTTTCATTAGAATTACGCCAAAATAAGATACAGTATGTCATTCAAAGACCAAATTCTCAATGATCTCATTTTAATAAATTCAAGGAGGATATGAAAACTCTTAATACTCTAATAGAAGTTTACGTAAATAGCAGTTTTCGTAAAATGGCTGCTAAATATTTATAAAAAAAAGTTTAATACTGCATATTATTTGGAAAAGGTAATACTGCCATATTACTAATGTACAAACTTAAGATTCCATTATTGTAACTTACCATAATGGTACAAATCCTAGTACATTTATGTATAATACATATAATGTGATAATGTGCAGCTGCAATATTTACAGACTACATTAGCACTGCACATTACACACTACATTAGCACTGTAATAAAAAAAATAATAACTGAATGTTTAAAAAGTTATAGATTTTACTGCATTCTCATTGATGGAAGCAGAGATTCAGCAGGATGTGAACAAGAATTAATTTACATTTTTTATATAAAAAACGGATGCCTAAATAGTAGAACTTTTATTTCTTGAAACAACAGAGAATTCTAATGCAGTTGGATTGGAAAAATGTATAACTGATGCTTTTGCAAGAGTTAGCATTACTGATGTTTATATACATCTATTAAGTCTAAACCTTGATGGAGCAAACATTATTCTGGGAACTTATACTGGTTTAAGGGCATTACTAAAGGAAGGTTCACCTTAGCTGAAAGTTGTACATTGCTTTACCCAGCAGCTTGAACTAATGTTAAAAGATGAAAATTTGAATATTTAACTTCCTTCAAAACTATTTATGAATTATTATTACAACTCTAATACTTGTATCAAAAGTTTTATAAGTGCTGCTGTGAATTACAATAATTAGCTGAAGCTTGGGGTAATAGTGTTAGGAAACCAACAAAAGCTTGCGAAACTCAGTGGATCAAGTACAAAAGCTATGAAAACTGCTCTAGAAAAAGATGTGGAAGTCAAAACTTCTCGATTCGTAAACACAAATTGTATTTGTAAACATATATTGAACTTTTTTTATTTTTTTGTCCATGAGCATTGGGATATATGACTTACAAACTGAACAATAGTAGCCCAAAAATATTTTATAGCAATTGTTGATAGGTTTTTCTGCAAAAGATTCGTTCTAATCAATATTTAGCATGTATCAATTAATTTATAAACAGCCATATAATCTAATCAGTTGTTGTTTACAATTGGATTATTAATAATTTTGTTTCTTAAACTGAAATTAAAACTTAACAGATGGTGAGCGTGCTCTTTAACTCAAAGAAGTGCAAAATGAATTCTGTTGTCATGATTGACAATTACAAAATCTAGAGTATTAGCGATTTTGTTTGTTAAATTTTGAAAAGTTGGTTCTAGAACAATTTGTTTGAAAAAGCAATTGTTTAAACAATTTAAAGACTTATTAGATTGGTTTTTATTAATACCAGATGACTATGCATTTTCATTACTCTATATAATCTTGTCGAAGCTGAAATCACCTGAATTTAGTAAGCCCAAAAATTCTCTACCCGTTCTATTTTTGGCATTATATATTGAAGCTATAATTGAGTTACAGGATTCACCAGATAATTATCAGATGATGATCTCTATATGGTCAGGTCTATATATCAGATGGGGGCCTATAAATGCTTTAAAACTGCTTTGGAAGTATCTATTATACAACTAAAAAAAACTTTTTCAAAAAAAATAAAACTTTTTTGCAAACCAAAAAATGAATTCACCTAGCAACTTTGCTTTGTACACACACAGATATTATATATATATATATATATATATATATATATATATATATATATATATATATATATATATATATATATATATACATACACACACACACAAACACCGTTGGCCATAAATTAGTGCTTGCTTTTTTTAATTTTAATACCCTTTTTGATTGAAATTATTTTAAAAAAGTTTAAGTTTTTCATTATTTTAGTAGTTCTAATTAATAAGTAACATGTTTACTATTTAATTGACATTTTTTTCCTTTTACATTAATTATTTTGTACACCTAATTATATGCAACTTTATAACATCTACTTTATTGTCTTTATTTTTTATGTCAATCAAAAGACTCACTGCTGTATTTTTAAAATTAATGTAATATAATTTTGAATTAATTTTTGTCAGCATGTATCAACTCTAAATTTTCTCGTTTTTATTTTGAAATAGTACTATTAAAAATGCAAATAAATTGAATATTAAAAAAGTTAAAAAATGAGCAAAGAAATACAGCATGAAACTCCAAAATCACGATTAAACAGGTGACATTAAAGAACAGCAACAACCTGGTCATTCAACTACAACAACATAAAGAGATGAACATTCATTAACTCGTTTAATAAAACATGACAGAAAATTATCATCTAACGCTCTCTGCCATAAATTGAATAATATTTCTGGAATAAATGTAGAAATTTAGAAGGGTGGAAAAGATAAAAAACAACAATAAATAAATGTGCAAGTGAAAAGATTTGAACCCCTGTGACATACTATTATATTAAATTTTAACACTATTTAATACACAAAAGACAGTATGACTTTATAAAACAGCAAATAAATGCTATAAATCAAAATTAAGGAGATATTGCGGAGATAATGGTATTGGAGATAAAGGAGATAATGAAAATTTCAAATAAAAGTAAAACTGTAAAACTTGATACAATTTTTAACATTACATAATTTGAAGTTTACATAAGTTAGATATTTGCATACACATTCATTCTTATAAAAAAAATGCTGTGACTTATTATTGCCATTAAATCAGGTGTAATGGCCACCATGAATTCTGTGCAAACACGCACAAATGAGCATTATTATTAACTTGCTCAATATATTATATGATTTACTTTCTGAAGCTACAGCTCTAAACTCCTCAACTTGACTTTTCAAAAATAATGTACCCAAAGAGATCAAATCAAGGAGACTGATTTTATGTCTGTTTCTATGCCAAACTGTATTTATAATCTACTAATGTTTAAAAGAGTCCTAATCTATTTGAAAGATAATTTGTTAAAAGTTAGATATAACAATACAAAGATACATGTTTAAACCCAGAACCAGTTGATGTTGTGCTTGATTTACTTTACAAGCAAATTTGATACTCAACAATGATTACTCTAGCTTTACTGAAGATTATCTCATGAGAAAACAAAAATATTTAATGCAATTTTTGCATTTAGTTTGAAGACAAGATAAACACATACATCAGAAAAGAGGCAGAAAAAACGCCAATGCTGACCCAGCTCCATCAAGTTTAGCCTCTTAGGTAGATGCGATTTTATACCTTATGTTTATCTTAAGTGGGTTAATTGAGAAAGTATAAAAGATTGATTTTATTTCCACCACAATACTGGCATATGAAGTCTCAAAACAGTCTTCTTATGCCAGTATCGCGGTCTTTCTTCATTCAAAAGTTTTGCTAAACATGTTAATAATGTTATTGTTGTCGATAATTTTAAAAAAATGATCAGCATGATGCAGCAATATGTTCATCATTATAGCAGATGAAAAACAGACACTTTGCTATCTGAAAAAGATAAGTTTAAGAAAGAAATCTACTAATCTTATCAAAAAAAAAAAAATTTTCTCTTATAAGAAAAAAACAGAACAAACAAATAATATATAGCTCAACCTTCCATAAAACCTTGTAAAATATTCAAAATAAATTATAATTACTAAAAATAAATTGTAATCACTTTTTCAATTTGATAAGAAAAACTTTAGTGATGAACATTTGTGTAATTCTATTTAAAATATTATAAACATTAAACGTAAAATAAGATTAAAAAAATATAAACATTTTTAAACTTTACTAAGAATCAATAAAGTTTGAATTTTATATTTGTAATGGTTATAAAAGCAACACCGCAATAAATTATTAAATAATTTTTGCTAAATAATTTTTAGGCAGTTTAAAATATAAATTTTACTATTTTAAAACAATTCCGTCAATAAATGTTTAATTTATTCCGTCATTTATTTATCAATTAAATAGATGACTGAATAAATAAATTATTTAAGATTAGAAAACATTTGAACTCTTGTAACTCAAACTTTATTTAAAAGATTATTTAAATTGAACAAATTCTTCCGTTTTCAGCATTTAATATTTAAAATTTAACTCCGTTTGAAAGTTTTTGTAATTTGAACATATTACAAGCCCTCTTAAAGATTCAATTACATGAATTCAATTGTACTTACATTTGCATTACCCATATGGCTCTTAAAGTAACCAATACTTAGTCTTTTTTTTTTTAAATAAGTGTTTTTGAGAAAAAGAAATAAAATAAAATTTAACAGTGTTTAAGCCTTTTGATTTTAAACATTTGCTTTAAACCCAGAAAGGTTTTTAAATGTGATAGTGGTAAAGCGCTCGCCACATAAACGAGAAGTTCCAAGTTCGATCCCACCACATCCCTGATAGCAAACCTTTTGATTTTGAACATTTGCTTTGAATCCAAAAAAAGACACAATAAAATTAATTTGAACTTTTAAAAAAAAAAATATTTTTTCTTATATTGTAGAACAAAAAACTTATTTTAACTTTAAAAGTATTGGAACAATTAAACTAAAAAGCTTTGGAAAACTAAAAAAATAATTACTGCTTGATAGTTTTTATTCCAACTTTTTCTTCTTCGGGAAAAAATACAAACATTTGATCTATAAAAAATACATATTATTTTTTATTAGTTTCTAAAATTTGGAAAAAAATAAATATATATTAAAAAAACAAATATTATATTAATTCATCACACAGAGGAGCAACTAAATTTATAATAAATAAATAGAATAAATAAAACCACTTAGTTTTTATTATATGGCTAAATTGAAGTTATAAATTAAATAACTATTTATTAATAATTAATTCATTTAGTTTATAATTGTATATTAGAATTAAAGTGTCAAATTTTAGATGTTTATTTTGTTGTTTGTTTCAGTATTCTTTTTTTATTAGGAAGAATTCCAGTAGAAGTAGAGTTTTTTTTCCCTCTGTTAAAGAGTGTGTCAGCTGTGTTAACTCCTGTACCATTCAAAATAATTGTGAAAATATTTAGACAGTTATTGTTCCTAATGCAGCAGGAACAATTATTTCTAATGCAGCAGGAACAATAACTTCTAATGTATTAAAAAAACATCTACAATTCACTAATGAAGTAAGGAGAGTTTGATGGAAACCAATGCAAAAAAGGTGGAAAGTTATTGCTGCATTAAAAAGATTAAATGCAGCAATAACTTTTCACCTTTTTGCAGTCACATGACTGACATGATTTAGGCATGTTTGTAACTTTTTAAATAGTGATTCTGTTTCATAAGGTTTTGAGAAACAGGTGCTAAGGTTTCATAAGGCTTTGAGAAACAGGTGCTTACAAATAAAACTTGGTTTTTTCAAAGTTTAAAAAATTATACAGTTGTGTATTTGTCTAAAAGTTAAAAGCAAATAACAAGGCCAATGCTTATGCTTTTATTAAAAAAGAAGCCTGAGTTCTGTTGTCTATGTGATCTAATATTAAAAAGGAGCTTTTCTACACGACTTAATGTTAATATAGAAATAATTTAATATATTATTTTAAAACATCAAGAAATACAGTTTCTCTCAATACTAATAATTTTATTTTATTTTTTAAGAAATTTTCGCTGGGTTATGGATACCAGCATCATCAGCTTGTAAAATATTAAAATAATTTTTTAATCATGATTACATAAAATTGTTACTATTGACGTCAGCGGTTGCATGGCTTCTTTTGATTTTTAAATTTTAAAAATGGCGTCCAAAACATAGTTTTTACATATTGGCCTTCATCAAGATTAATTCCGCTGTTTCGTGCAGAGCACATGTTGTTTTGTATTTCTAGTGCCTCTCTAATTTTTCTTTCAAATTTTCAATTTTTTATTTTCTACTTTTAATGTTCTTATTTTTTCCTAAATAATATTTTCTTTGCAAAAGGTTTTATGATATGCTAATGCAGATTGATTAGGTTTGTTTTCATTAATGCTCTTCTGATGTTGATGCATTCGTGTATTTACCTGCATTTTTGTTTCACCTATGTAGACCTTGGAGCAGTTGCATTTTATTATATAGGTTCCAGGGTGGCTGTTACTTGGTAGTTTTAATTTGTTTTTTGATTCTTAAATTTGGGTTTGATTTAAATACTGCTCTGTACCCTGCTTTTCGGAATATTTTTTGAAGTTTTGGTGAAAGGCCTGGTACCCATGGTAAAGACACTACAGGAAGATTATTGTATTCTGATGGAATTGCGTTTCTTTTTGTCTTTTTTGATGAAATTGGTGTGTAATATTCCTAAATAGCTTTTCATCGTACCCATCGTACAAAAAAAATAATTTAATAGTTTTACCCTTTATAAAAATTCTTATTAGGTTAGTAATTTTTCAGATTAAACCAGGGCTGTGGAGTCGGAGTCACGGAGTTGCGTCAATTTTACCGGAGTTGGAGTCGCTAAAAAAAATCGCGACTCCGACTCCGATAGTAAAATTTTTTGGTATTGCACGTGCATGTACAAAACATTCAATTAACCTTATGTTCATACTAAACATCAAAGAATGTTTCATAAATTTGTCAAAAAAAAAATTTCAACTTACTGGGCAATATTTTTTAAAGAATTCAAATAATTTTTCAAAAATTTTGCTTTGGAGTTGGAGTCGGAGTTGTACTCAACAATTTTTCAAATTTCAACAACTGGAGTCGGAGTTGTTACTTTTTTTTTACGACTCTACACCCCTGAATTAAACTAAAGTATATTGAAATTTTAAATGAAAATTATGTTTTTATATATATTCTGTAAAATTGTTTAGTAAAATAAATCTGATTAAAAACTTTGTTAATACTTTATTATGTTAATTATGTAATTATGTTAATTATGTTTTACTTTATTAATACTTTTATTAACTATTTGACTGTTACTAATGCTCAAATAAGTAGGTATTGTAAAACTTCATCAATTGTAATATAAATCTGCAAATCTGTGATCCTACAATGGTCAAAAAAATGGTCCTACTTAAAACAATGAAAATTTTGGATTGTGCAATGATGGAATCGCAGAGCATATTTTTTTAATAAAGAAATTGAATATTTTTCAAAAACTAATTTTCCTAAAACTTTTTTGCTATGGTGCAAGTTGAAGTTCAAGTGCAATTTATGCATATCTCTAAGAGAATAACTGGAAATAATTTATTTTTAATTTTCTTAAGTGGTAATTGTGAAAAAATATAAATTGGAACACATATTTTAAATAAAAAATGATGGTACATGATGAAATGGTAATCTAGAAGAAAATAAGAAGAAAGTGAGTAACTAGCAGAAAAATCTTACTTGCCTGGGACTCGTTGAATTAAAAAAAACATTCATTATCATGAACAGGTTTCTATAGAATCGTTTCTAAAGGTGGGTCTTAAATTCTGAGAAACTAAACTTAAAAATTATTTTGTTTAATATTAAGATATAAAACATTAAATAAAAAATTAATTTCAAACTGCAATTACAATTCAAAATAAAATAGTTTTTATGGTTTACTAATATTTTGGCAGGTACTTTCTAGATATAAAGGATTAAAAAATTGTAACAGCAAAATAATTCATTTTTTTATTACTTTTCAATTTTTATATCTTGTCTGAAAAACTGTTTGAATTTTTTTCTACCTCAAAGCTGAGGGTGCTGCTTACTGTAGGAAAAACTACCTCTGTCAACTCTTTCACTCCAAAACACAAACCTTGGAAAACGAGGCCGCTGCGCGGAGAAATAAGTTGGATCAAAAACAATGTTTAAAAAAATCAAAGTGTACGAAATATATTTGGACAGTTCAAACCAATCTATTAAAGTAAGTTTGTGTGTGTGTGTGTATATAAGAAATATCTACACATTTTAGTAAATGCGTGCTTAGCTCCGCATGAAATGCACTGATAAAATTACAGCAAAATACTATACAGTATCTACAAATATAAGAAATCTATTATGGCAAAAAAAAAAAAAAAAGAGTCAATTATTATTATTGTGCATCTTATATATTATAAAAAAAGGTCTGGATTAAAATCCAAATTTCGAAAATTAAAAAGTAAAAAAAATATACTAGTACTATGACAACCATGCTAATATGCAGTGATTCATGTAAGTCATAAATATCAAAAAAAGAGACATTATATATGAAGAAATAACAATAATTTCTTTTTATCTTTATCTAAAAACTACATACATGAACATATTTAGACATTGCATAAACTATAAAACTAACCTTAGACATCACATAAACTGTAAAACCAACTTTTATATGTTAAGTTAAAACCAAATTTGTCAACGAAAAAAAAAAAAACTTTTTTATGTTTGAGTATGTTTAGGTGTGTAAGTATATATATGTATTAGGGTGCATCAAACGCCCCATACTTTCAAAAATTGATCTGTCCCTATTCTTAAAACTTTCTATTGGTACTCACAAGACACTCTGTTAAATTTTTTCAAAATTGAATTAATTTAGGGGGGCCACCTCAAATCTGAAACTTGCGACGAGACCCTAAACAGAAGAAAAGTTTTTCAAATGTCATGTTGGGTCTCAAAAGAAGCAAAATTTTTTAAAAAAATTTCAAATACAATAAAAATTTTACATAATATTTATTATTAAATATTATGCAAAATTTTTATTGCATAAAAATTTTATTAAATATTATGTAAAAGTTTTATTGCATAAAAACTATTTTTTAGCAAAAAATTAAAAAAAGCCATTTTTTTATGGTTTTTGGTCGAAATTTTTTTTCAAGGTATTTTTAACAAAAAATCATTACTATTTTTGATATTTTTATAAAGTTTCGCTTCATTTGAGACCCAACATGACATACATTTGAAAAACTTTTTTTTCTTCTGTTTAGGGTCTTGCCGCAAGTTTCAGATTTGAGGTGGCCCCCTTAAATCTCATTCAATTTTGAAAAAATTTAACAGAGTGTCTTGTGAGTACCAATAGAAAGTTTTAAGAATAGGGACAGATCAATTTTTGAAAGTATGGGGCGTTTGATGCACCCTAATATGTATATAAATAAAAAAGAAAAAGACCTGTTGGGTCATCATTATGAGCTACAAGAACTGAAATATCTCCACGCGACGGATGGCCTTCACTAAAAAAACAAAAGGAAATAAAATAAAAAACTTATAGCTTTGAACTTAATACATTACTTTTAAATATATATATATTTTTTGCTTATATATCATTGATGTTGTATAAGTTAAGTAATATTTGGGTCATTTATTTCATTTTTTTTTTTATTAAAATAATTTAAAACAGTCTGTAAGACTATTTTCAGAAACATGTTACTTAATAATATTAAGTAACATGTCTCTGGTGTAGGAAAGGTAGCTCATGCATAGTATTTTCACTTCATTTGGATATATACAAATTATTTGGACTTTATATAGACAACAGTCACTGTCACTTTAATTACAACATTTTGCATTTTAATTTCGCATTTCACATTTTGTTGAATCAAATAATTTAATAAGTTTATCATGATTCTTTTTGTCAATATTCCATTCAATATCTTTTGCAATGTTCCATTCAATATCTTTTGCAATATTCCATTCAATATCTTTTGCAATGTTCCATTCAAGCACAAGTTTATAAAATACATATTTTTCTGAGAACATTTAAAATATTATATTAAATAGTAGACCATTTAAAATATTATACTAAATAGTAGAGGAAATGGGACAGATAAAGCTTCTTAGCCATGGTAAATGGAACTTACCAAGGAGAATTAAAAACTCTAATAAAAAACCTTTAAATCAATTGTTGGTTAAGGCAGGAGGAGCTTGTAAACTTTAGATGGTTCATAAAAATACTCAGTTCTGATCTGCAAAACAGATCAAAACCAAAAAACAACAAAAAAAAACTTTTAATATGTTTGTGTGTGCTGTAAAATTTCTCAATTAGAAGTATTTAAAACTTTTATGAAGATGTAAAAATTTTGGTTCTAGATGAGTCATGGCAGAAGATACATAGTTACACAAGATTATATGGATCAAATATTAGAAGCAAGAGGAATATACTTTTGTATGCATTTTTTATGCTTAACCATTAGAATAAAATCTTTTTATCCTAAAATTAAAAAAAAACTATCGGTTGTAAAAAACTTCTTTAACATTGTCATTTAAATTAGAAAGTGTCATTATGGAAAACTATCCAAACAACTTTAAACAAAGTTAAAAAAATTTGTGTGCAGTACTTGTCTACTTATATTGTCTACTACTATGACCCTACTTTAAAAAAATTGCACAAAAATTTTTTGTTTTAAGTTGTCAAACTGCTCAAGAAGTTCTTATATTTAAAATACTAAAACATTTAATATGCCTTATGAAGACTAAACTATGAAATTTCAAATATTAGAACATCAAACAGCTAAAGAATGGAACATACAGAACAATTAATTGCAATACTTAAAGCAAATAAAACAGATGTGGGTAGTCATTCACTTGCAACATAAGCATTTATACAGAGTTCTCTTTCTCTACCACATCCTTGGTACTTATACCTTTGAATGATTGGCTTGAAAAAACTTAAGAAATAAAATTTATCTTTATACTTTTATATTTTAAAGCTAATCCATTTAATCAAAACAATAAGAAGCAGAAATAAAATTTGCAGATTATTTTAATACAAGTATAAAAAGTATATATTTTAAAACTCACACCCCCATGACTCCATAGGGTGCCTCACATGACTCCGTAGGGTACCTTTAAAAGTTAAGGAGCCTTCTCAATTTTTTGATTTATTCTGAATTTATCTCAAATCTAAACTTTGAAATAGGAACCTTGCTAAACAAGGCTGCTGAAAAAAGAAACAGATTGAGCCTGGTACTTCTAGAGACATACGGTAGATTTAAACCAAACTTTTAGTTTATTTAATAAGCTAATTTATAACTCATTATTAAAAATCAAATATCTTATTTATAATCGAAAGACTGCTAATCGATTTTTATATTATATATTGAGTGTCTGATATAAAGTTATCAAGTTATTGAGATTATCAAGTTATTCAAGTTATTCAAATTTTCAAGTTAAAAAGTAAAATTTCAGTAAAAAAAATGGCATCTTCCGGTAACAGAGTTACACTTGCAATATATCTGAGTTAGGGAAAAGATGAAGTTTGTGGAATGGAAACAGTCAGTTTGAAAATGAAACAATATATGTTGTAAAGCTATGGTGTAAGGTCTGTATTCAGTATAAAAAAGAATTGCTTCGCAAGCTTCGCATGCTTATCTGGGTTGAACTCATCATTGGAACGAGCCTTAAGTCTTCTGACAATGCTTATGTCAGACAAAAAACTCAGAATCAACCAGAAAACACTAAACGCTATCTTGGCCATTGAAATCAATGATCCAAATTTTAGTTATAATGATAGGAAAAATGTAATCGAACGGATTACTGATATATTTTTATAAAAACAGCAAACAGATATTTTCGATTTGATAATTCAACCTGCTACAATAGTAAATGACAAAAAGGACCACATTGATTACAATAGTTTAGGCAGTGAAAGTGGGAAACACCTGGATCGTGTGAAAATGAAGAAACTGCATTCGATTTTAAAGTTGAAGATATTTTGGGCTAATTTATTTAAAATGAATATTTATAAATAATTTATAACTATATATATTCCTTTTGTATGATAAAAATAATACTATATGATTTCTTCATTTTTTATTTTTGTTTTTATATTTGCGCTATATTTAATACATTTAAAAATATTTTACAGCAATAACACTGATATATAAAATAATGCTGCATTTAATACCCTTCTATTGGTACTATTCACAAAAAAATGTAAAACAGATTTGTTTTTTTTAAATTCAAAACTCTTTTTTTTATACAGGCCTATATTATATAAGAATAATATATTTAAGAAATATATATACCAGAATCTTGAAAAATCTATTTGTACCAAGTCTCTTAGAAATTAAAAAATAAACTACCCCAAATTTTAACTTACATATCACATCAACATAACATATATTTTCTCCTAATTTCCGAAAAGAATATAAAATCAATTACGAGTTCATAAAAGAGTATATTATAGTAAAGATAGTAAATTGAACGAAAACAATAGTAATAATTAAAATTTTAGTCTAAATAGTTGAAAAACAATTGTAAAAGAACCCTTTGGTTCAAGTTTTATTTAAAAAAAAATTTCAATATAATTGTCATTATCTTTATAGCTTAGAGATACGCGTTAAATTTTTAGAATTTAATTTACAAAACACAAGAAAAATGATTCAACTAAAGTGCAATAAAAAATATTATATTTTATTTGATTATTTTGAAAAGACAATTATTTATAATATTTGAAAAGATATATTATTGAAAAGATATATTATAAGATAGAATATTTGAAAAGACATATTATTACTCAAATAGATCTTGCAAAATTGCTACATTTATTACAAAATTTTTAAAGCAAACGTCAAGATGTTTGATTAAAGAAACATAATGGTTGCGAAGGTTGCTTTTCTGCCATTTTTTGCGTTGCTTGCAAATTATTAGTTTGGCTATATCTGGAATAGACTCAACAAAAATCCAATTATACAGCTGATAAAACTAAAGAATAAAAGAATAAAGTCTGAATAAAAATCAAGAAACAAAACCAAAACAAAAACATAACAACAAAAACTTACTAATTAGAGGGCACACTAATAACTCTGACCGAAAGATAAAAACTGCAGTATAAGTTCGAAAAATTATTATCTCAACTTTACAAATATCCAACTATTCGAAGTTTAATTACTAAAGCCTTTTGAAATGATTTGTCACTCTCCTACTTGTTAAAAAAGAGATAGTAGAGATTTTTATATACAATGAGATTTTCATTCACAAAGAAGAAGAGAAATGAATGAACTTTTATTATAATATAATTAATATTATTCATTTTTATAAAACAACAATGTGATGTATAAAAGTTTTTTATATATTGTTATTTTATTAGAATGATGGACTATATATTAACATTTGAATAATGTTTTTAATTTATTATTTAATTAATTACTAAATTATTAAATGAAAAGTAAATATAAAAAATTATTTAAAAAAAAAATCGTTAGGTTTTTTTTTTTTTGCAAGTTGTTTTTCTATCGCTTTTTATCGCTAAAAAAACATATATTATTACAATTAAAATTTTTACCATACCAGGCATGAAGAATCAACAAAATAAAATTTCAGAATAAAAGAAATTTCATCAAAACATAATAACTTTAATTTTTCAAAAAGGCCCATGCAAGACTTTCTGGGTGGGCGGCTCGCTACAACGGGTTTAGAAAGGCTATATATATATATATATATATATATATATATATATATATATATATATATATATATATATATATATATATATATATATATATTCAGTTATACCTAGAAAATAAATTTAATTGTATTGCTTGAGTTTAACTTGATTGTTTGGGTTAACTTGATTGACTACTAATTTTATTTATATGCACCTACAAGTAAACTTTGTTCAATGTTTTTGTGTTAAAAATTTTGCTCCATTAACCTAAAAGAATTTATTCCCCCTTTTTATTTCATTTTGCTAGATATGAAATTCCTTGTAAACCTGTTCAAACACCGCTGTTAAAATGTTAAACTTGTTTTACTAACATATATATATATATATATATATATATATATATATATATATATATATATATATATATATATATATATATATATATATATATATATACATACATATATATATACATACATATATATATATATACATATACATATATATATATATATATATATATATATATATATATATATATATATATATATATATATATATATATATATATATATATATATATATATATATATATATATATATATATATATATATATATATATATATATATATATATATATATATATATAGCTATAGTCTTTTAAACATCAGACGGGCCCCTAATATTATCAAGAAAAAAAGTTCTTTAAAAGTATAACATTTTGGGTCTCAAAAGAACCAAAATTTTATAACAATTTCAAAAATAATCATCATTTTATAAAAAAAATATTATTTAAGCATTCACTGCATAGAAAACGACATTTTTTAACTAAAAATAAAAAGTTTGCATTAAAAAAAAAAAATTTTAATTTTTTAGTTATAATTTTTTTTTCTAAATGTTTTTTATAAAAAAATAACTATTTTAAAAAATTTTTATAAAATTGCCCTTCTTTTGAGACCCGACATAATATACTTTTGGAGAACTTTTTTTCTTGATAATATTAAGGGCTGTCTGATGTTTAAGAGACTATAGCTACCCCTAAAAATATTTTTTTTTCAAAGATTTTTTAACTCTAGTATTATGTTATTATATAGAACACATTTAGGGAGTGGAATCTGCATTTTAAATAATGTGTAAAATTTGGACCACCCTAATATATATATATATATATATATATATATATATATATATATATTATATATATATATATATATATATATATATATATATATATATATATATATATATATATATAAGCAGATATGTATTAAACTTGTTTTAATAACATATGTAAGCACATTGCAACCATTTCATAAAAAATTTTAAAATTAATTTGTATTGGCAAACATAAATAAACTTTTATTTATTTAGTTTTTGTAGATAAAAAAGGATTGTATTAAATGTCAAAAAAGAAATTTTATATCTTCAAAACTGGAAGCAAAACAAACATTCTTTAACATTTTTACATAATACCATTTTTAAATTATTTTGAGTTTGAATTAAACTAGTTTTGCAATAATTTAGTAGATTATTTTAAAACTTATAATTTAGTAGATTATTTCAAAACTTATAATTTAGTAAATTATTTCAAAACTTATAATTTAGCAGATTATTTTAAAATTAGTTTTTAAACATAATCAAATAAATTATTTGTAACAATTTAGCAGATTATGTTTAAAAAAGATAATTCGCATAAATACAAAAAGAAAATTTTAAAAATTTCATGTTTTATATCCCATTAAACCTATGTGTAACACATTTCATGCTTATAAAAAGAGCTAGAACATTGATGTCTGCAATAACTTTATGCTTATAAAAACACCTAGAGTATTGATATCTGCAATAACTTACTGATATATGCTTATTGATATATGAACATTGATACCTGCAATACTTTATGTTTATAAAAACACCTAGAACATTGATATCTGCAATCATTGGAATTAGAAATAATAAGGTCAGCAATACATTGCAGACCTCCAACTGTTAGAGGTCAGCATCAGGTTGGCAAAAAAACTTTGACACAAAGGGCTTACTACAAAACATAAAAACAAAGTTGGCAATTTTTTGCTAACCTCAAACACTTTTAGTTCAGCAGTTAGGTTGGTATTGGCGAATGCCGATCCTAATTTCAAGGGCTGTATCTGCAATAACTTTATGCTAACAAAAATACCTAAAAGTTTTATGTCTGCAAGAACATTGATATCTGCAATAATTTATGTTAAAGTGCTTTTTTTCCTTCCAATATGTTTTACATTACAACTTTAGTTTTGTCTAATTATTTTTCTATTCTGTTTCTTTAGTTTTTGTCATTTATATATTGATATTATTTTTGTCAGTAAACTTTGCATAATGATACTTCTAACAACTTGATAAAAATTACATTGTGTAAGAAAAAAAAAAACGTTTTGTTATGGTTTCAGCAAGATTCATAATAAAATAAATTCATAAAGGTTGGAATAATTTATAAAAAATACAGATATGTTATAATTAAAAAAAAATAGATATGTAAACAAACTTTTTATTTGTTTTACATACAGTATTTATGCATCTTAACATATGCTACCATTTTTTTTTTGTACCACAGTTATCAATATAAAATTTTAGAGAAATAATTTTTTTAACAAAAATAAAATACGTTAACAAGTAACAAGTTAACAAATACATATCACTTTAAATATACTATGGTTATATTAAGAAAATTGTCAATTAAAGTTTAAATAAACCAATGCTCAAACATTAAAAAAAAAAATTTTCACTTTTATCTTAATATTAATAAATGTAACTAAACAAGTGCAAGCTTTAACCATAAAAAAAATTTGATAGAATAAATTTAAGATTAAATAGTCTTTAGAGAAGCACATACCTTGGTCTATCACCAAACTGTTCTATAAATTGCTCTAATGTTTGATCCAACTCATCTTGTGTAACTAAGTATCTTCTGTCATGACACATCTAAAATAAAACGATGGAAATTTTTACCTTTTCATTAAAGTTTTAAATACTTTAAATGGAGAAATTTTACAGCACACACAAATATATATATATATATATATATATATATATATATATATATATATATATATATATATATATATATATACATATATATATATATATATATATATATATATATATATATACATATATATATATATATATATATATATATATATATATATATATATATATATATATATATATATATATATATATATATATATATATATATATATATATATATATACACACAGTTATAGCAAAAAATCAAAAAGAAAAAAAAGTCAAAGAAATGTATATGTTCCTTGAACCTCGTAATAGCATAAAATAAGTAATTATTTTTAAAAATAACATGTTTTTTATTCTTGAAATGTTTTGTAAAAAGTGGAAAGACAATTGGTTGCAAAAGCAGTACTGGAGAAATGAGAAAAGACAGATACATTAAAGCAAAACTTTTATCTATGTATATATATATATATATATATATATATATATATATATATATATATATATATATATATATATATATATATACAAATTGTTGGCTTTAAGAGTACGGAAGGTAAAAAATGATTCTTTTGATAACAAAATACGTCACTTTTAATTACTTTTGACTTTCATTCCACATTTCCGTGTTGTCATAAAGTTAAAACCATTAATTTATTCATTTTTTTTAAAAAACCGTAAAAACGCAAATTTAATTGACCAGAATGTTAAACATTCTGAATGTTTTTAAAAACATTTTAAATGTTTTTAAAAATTAAAAAAATGTTTTTATTTTAATTTTTTAAATAAAATGTCTTTATTTTTACTTTTATTTTACTGTAAATCATGCGCGAGTGTTGCTACATCGACTATCTTATAGCCTAACTTGTAACTGAGTGCTGCTACATCGACTGACAAATAGCCTATTTCGCAATGGAGTGCTGCTTTCATGGCTTTATATGACCACGCAAATAATATTTTGTTTTGACGATTTGACCACAGTTTTAACATTTTATTAAAAGCGCTGAAAACTTAACTTAGTTATTAAAAAACTAAAAAAACAAACTTATTTTAAAAAAAGAAATAAAATCTTCTTAAAAACAATTATGAAAAATAAAATAAAAATAGCTTAGTAATAAATAACTAAAACAAAAATAAAAATAATAAAAACAAAACTTAACTAAAATAAATAATAAACAATAAGATAATTACGTTTGAAATAAATAACTTTGAATCTTTACTAATGTTTTTTTAATGTAAAACTAGTAGTGTCCCATCTGCTTTGTTACAGCACCATATAAATTTATATTAAAAAATAAATAAATAGTACTAATCGACAAAAAATTGTAAATAAACACTTTTGCTTTTATAAAAAACTTCATTGCGCATTAGTGGTATTTAAAAAAAAAACGATCTAAATTAACAAGAAAACTTTTTTTAATGAAGCTTTTTTTAGGGGGGAGGGGACGCATTTTACAAAAACGACGACTGACTAAGGAACAAAAAAAAACATTTTTTTTTTTCTATTATATAGACATAGCAAACCCTTTTAAACAAAGTAAAAACTTCCAACAATTTTTTTATAAATACGCATATTTAAAAGATAACAACAAAAAAAAGAACTTTACAATTCTTTGTAGTAATATAAACAAAAGAAAAATAATTAAGTCTTTTCTTTTGTCAGAAATCCAATATCAGAAAGCAAATGAGGAAAAATGAAGATGAAAACGAAAAGTAATGAACAAAACTATTCCTTTAATTTATAACTTGATTTAATTTGTTAATATTTCATTTTATTTTTAATTTAAAGACTAAAGAAAAAAAATCATAAAAATTATAAAAATAAAATTATATTTATTTATTTTTTTTCAACTTTCATTCTTGCAAAAAAATTTGTTATATTTCAATTATATTAACTTTAATCTATAATTTTTTTATTTAAAAAGAAAGAAAAATACATCAATACTTTAATGTAAAAAAATCATTAGCAGTGAATTGTTACTTTATTTAAAAGCGTTTTAATAATATAAAAACATTAGTAAAGATCAAAGTTTAATTCAAATGGCTGTTTTTAATTCAAAAGTTTGTCCTTTTTTTTTCTCAACAAATTTATACAACTTTCATTTTTAAAGTACAGTCGAAATTTATACAACTTTCATCTATACTTTAAATTAAAACATTAACAGAAACTGTTACTTTATTTAAATGCATTTTGCTAATATAAAAACATTAGTAAAGATAAAAGTTTCAAAGTTATTTATTTTTGCGTAACTAAAATAATTTTTTCCAGTGCATTTTTAAAATGTTAAAAACCGTGGTCAAATCGCCAAAATAAAGTATTATTTGCGTGGTCATATAATGGCATGTGATTGCACGCCTTCCTGACCAAGCTTATATATATATACTTTTATTATATTTAATTTTTATTTTGATATCGTTTATGTGACGTTTATTCAGAAAGTATAATGTTGTAAGTAAAAGTATTTAACCGCAATTGTAATCTAATAAATTTTTTTTAAAGAAACAGTTTGTTTAATAAATTTTTTTTTAATTAAAAATAATTATAGAAAATAAAGTGTTTTAAGTTTAAAAATTCCATCATATTTAATGTTAAGTTTTATATTTCTTAAGTTAATAAACTTTTATTCGCAAATTATGTTCATTTTATATGGAACAATTTTTGTTTATTTATTTATAGTTTTAAAACAATTCTTTTTTTTATCCTATTAAGAAAGTACTTATGATTAACTGTTTATTTAAGTATTTCCTCATCATCAAATTTCGAAACCCAGTGGCGGTTTTCCTAAAAAGAGAGGAAGTTAACATTCAACTTACACTTAAATATTCTTTATAAGACATTCGTCACCTTTGAAGGATTCATCCTCCTCATTTGATTCACAAAATTGCCACTGGCTAGACCTGCAGATAAGGAAATGTTTGAAAGCTTAGTTGTTTAATTTTTTTTTTTTAATATTTATCAAATTTAGAAATAAATGATATTTTAGTATTGAAGTTGCTTTTATGCATAAGTTTTTTCGTTATCTTTAACTTTTTAGATTGATCATAGAAAGAAAGTCAATTAGAAATGATTAACTAGGTTATAAGCAACAGACGAATATTTTACCAAAGTCAAATTCTTTAAAAAAAATTGTCTATATATTTTTTGCATTGTTTAAGCACTGTTTAAAACTGTAAACTATAATAGGAAACTCTACTTATAAATAAATGAAGCTTGTAAATACTATTAGAAAAAAAATCTTTTAATTTCAACCCAAAATAACGTGAGTATAATTATGAACATTGGTTTTCAGTCTACTCTGCTAAGAAAATCAAAAATTTTATTTTAATGATGCCTAATGAAAAATTGCAATGAAAGCAATATAGTTTAGATACAAAAAACTAACAAATTTCACTAACAAATTAATTATATGCAATAAAAAATCAAACTTGTCTGTGAGTTTGCGCTATAAAATCAAGCTAACGATCTAGACAATTGGCAAAAAACATACCATCTAGGTCAGAAAGAAGCCAAAAAAAGCTAAGTGACTAACGTCATCAATTCATAACTAGTCATTGTAACAGCTTCCCTAACTATGTTTTCGTGGATTGTTTTACAAAAAAGTAATTTTGAAAAGCATATATAACACACAAAAAAAAAATACTTTACATGTTCAAAATAACTTGCAATAACAACATTCTTTCTTTAAAATATTATTTGCTATTAACTCATGTGTAACAATCTTGACCAGTAATAGCCACTAACTATGCATCAGATACAATCTTCAGACACTTTCATTGTACAAATAAAATTTTGAATGGATGCAAAGTAGTATGCTTCAAATGTCTTGTACCCGAAAAAGTAAAAGTAACGAGTTATGCGGTAAAGAAATTAAATGTGTCGCAAAAGCTCGCATTAGCAACCTTATACAACACTTATCTAGAAAACATGCAGAGCTCCTCATTAGGTAAAAAAAAGAAAAATTAGAAAAAAAATAGAAGAAAAGAATAAGAAGCAAAAATAAACAGCCATTAAAGGCAGCACTTCACAGCAATCCATATTAAAGTGTTTTGTACCACAGCAAATTAGTTTGCATATTGCAAAAGATAAGTTTTTAGAAGCCTTAAACCAGCTGGTTTTGGTTGATGGTCTTTCATTCCAGGTTCAATATATTTTTTTGTTAGTAACTATTTTTTAATTAAAAAATCTAAACAATTATATTTTTTTAGCATTTTTAAATAAACATTTATCATTCTAAAAACAATATCTATAGGTGTTTGATCGTGAACCTATTCAAAAGCTTAGCGGAAAAGTTTCATCTCATTTTGGATTTAAAATGAATAAAGAATAATATAAAAATTTAAATTATTGATCTTGCCAAAAAGCATCGCGAACAAATCAAAAACAAATTATCGAAAATGCTAATTTATTTGAAAGTCTATTCTACATCAAGACATATGCGTCACTACCTCGATATAAATGCGCAATACTTGAACAATGATGAAATTGCTGTGATCAATCTTGACACCATTGATACGAAGGGAAAACAAACGGCGGAATACACAAAACTTTTTTTAGATGAGTTTGGGATCAATAAAACTAATATTTTAGGCCTCAGTGTTGACAACTCAGCAGTAAGTAACATATTTTGAAATTCACTATATTTTCTGTCAATGAAAAGAATTTAAAGTTATGTGATTAAAGTTATTATTTTCCATAAAATCATTTAAAAATAAAATGTTTTGATAAAAACTTTTATATACTGTAAGGCATTTTTACTAAACTTTAATATCTTTAGGTGAATATAAAGTTGGTGCGCGACTTTGGCATCAGCGCTGTTGAGAAAATGGTAGGTGACGAAGAATTTTTCAGTATAAACTGATGAATTTGACGAAGATGGTTATTCTAAAGCGGACAATCCAACAGAAGTCTTGGCTAGTGGAGTTGCCAGTAGCATGAGTGTTATACATCT